ACGACTGGCGATACGAAGGGCGATTTCGATGAACGAAGGGGACGCGCGGCGCGGCGCGGCGCGGCGCGGCGCGGGCTCGTAATTTCGCGGATCGACCCGCCGCGGCGCGGCCACCCGTCGCGCGGGACACCCTATAAATCCCTCAAACGTCTGCTGATGCCCTGGTGCACCCAAGCGACTTGCGCCACCGTGACGGACGGATGACTGACGTTTCTTCCTCCGTTCCACGAGAACCGCGCGCGAATTCCCAATGAGGTCTTAAGCGGTTCTCACACACTCACGCGTGTGCGATTAATATTCCAAGTATCGACGATCAACCGGTTTTCATCGGAGCGTTCGAGAGACAGACATTTGAAAAATTATGTTACGCAAGAGCAAAACTATTTACTTATTTCCTTTCTAAGTTTCATCCAACATCCGTTGAAAATATAGAATGCATTCGTCGTGTAGATCTGAATAATTTTTATAGGAAATCACAAGCCGACTCGCTTTTGATCACTTCTGCTGGTTCTGGTGTTGGCCGAACGTGGAGAGAGCGATATGTCACGCTACCGTACGAGACTTCTACGACACAAGGTGTATTGTATTTCAGGTGTTATATGTATACATATGACCGATTCTTTTTTAATTCTGTCGGCGAATTCATTTTTGCACGATACCGTTCAAACATGAGAATATTAACGATGCTATTAGAGATTAATAATTCCGCGTGAGGAATTAATCACGTTCCCTGAACGATCGTCGCTTGGATCGACAGATTGTGAAAGCTCGTTCTTGTAAAACTCTTGTTCGTTTGAAATTTCGCTCGTTCATTATGAACGTCGCCTGTTAAGTGCAGCAGTAATGAACGAACGAACAGTACTTGCACACGAGGGAATGAGGGAGCAAGGCCAAGGTGAAAGAGGGAGAGGTGACATATGACTAGCATCAACGACCATCCGGAGTACCGTATGCGGCCCTGATACGTTAGCGTCCATGACGGGCATGCGACCGAAAATCAATACGCGTCGTCGGCTATCAGCTCTAATGTTCGCAAGAAGCAAGCAACGCGTCTCAAGCGTCTCAAATAAAACGACTGGCCAGAGTCGCGCGTTTTGCGTCGACTGACGCGATCATTTTTCCAAGATGCGTCCGTTCATCCGTCAAAATTTCGTCACCAACGCGATCACGATCAACAATTAGATTGAACTGTAACGCTGCGGTGCTGGCGAACTGGCATTAATTCGCAAAATTTCTCCGCGTAATTTCGACAGCGTGAAAGCGCCTATATGTACAACTTTCAATCGCTAACGATTCGAACGAAACGCTTGCAATACACATGACAAACGTCTCAATACTGTTCCGAATATACATAACATTGTTGTTACATGACAAAGCACAGATGATACCTTCCCGAATGAGTTTGATATCGCGACTGAATTTCTGCTGCGTAAATAGATGCAGCGTGCGGCTCGATCGTCAACACACACGCGAAACGAGCGGCGACGTAAGGACATCAACGCGATACTTTGCGATCGATATCTGTCAGACAAGGATCGTGCCGAGCATGCCTTGCGAGCTTCCGGGAGCAGGCTACCATCCGTATTTGGAAGTCCCGCAAGGTGCCTCGAAATTCCCATCAAATTCTTGCTTCCCGAACACCAGGGCACCAGTGTCTAGGGTAGGTCAGGATCGCGCCGGACGGAGCGACAGCAAGGCTGGTAATTGAATCGCAACCGTTTAAGTTCAATTTTAAACAAGTCAATAACATCAAAAGCTTCGACTACCCGGCTCGCATCCTCGCATAGAGCTCGTATGCGCCCTACAGACCTGCGAGAGCGAGGTCTATCGCGATCTAGGTCGCCCCTAGATGCACTCATTCGCCGATGGGGAACTCAAAGATGAGTACTGAAATGCGTTTCCAGATTATCAGAGCAGCAGCAGCAGAAGGCCAAACAGTGAGCGTGTAAGCCTAACTGACCGCTTAAAATAGTTAACACAATCCTCCTCCGTGTGGGAATGAATAAAAACGGCTACCCTCTGCCCCCCACCCCTCCATGAGAATATTAAAAATTACGAATATCAATACTAATAGCCGCGTTCGAGTAATAAGCGATCTATCGCGCTATATTTATAGCGACACAATCGTTGGAAACGATTGTTTATAACGTGTTGTTTTTGGTGAACAACATTATTAATGATGCGAGAAATTACTATTAACTTTCTCAATGCCACCATTTCCTCACATACGAAAGCACATCTTTGTCTGCGTCTCTCACTCTCTCTCTCTCTCTCTCTCTCTCTCTCTCTCTCTCTCGCTCTCGCTCTCTCTCTCTCGCTCTCTCGCTCTCTCTTTCGAGAGAGAGAGAGAGAGAGAGAGAGAGATAATTTGAACTACTTGTTGCTCAGTTTGCCGCGAAATGGAGTGTTTGTCGCACAGAATCACTCGAGTTCCCCGTCGGTGAATGTCGCTTTGAAACCTCGACTGGATCTCGTGAACGATCGGTCTCTGTTTCCGACAGCAGGCATCACACTCGAGGTTCGCGTCCACACCAGGCTGCCACTCGCCCAAGAGAGCTTTCTTGGCAAGCCGAGAATCCCCACTTAGATGTCGTAGGTACCGAAGGTTCCTAGTGGGGGATTAATCATGTGCTCGAGTGGGGGTGGTTTCGTCGTTTGGCCACCTCCATCGCGTCCTCGGCGCAACCAGGACGACAGTCACAGGTGGAGGCTCGTTAAATCTAAACACTCGCCATAATAAACGTTATCGACTACCTCCGGAGCCCTTTCCGAGGCCGAGGTCTAAGCGCGCGTCGTACGTCGGCAACGAGTGACTTCCGTTCCGTCGGCGGGTACGCGCGACGTCGAGCTCTCGCGATCGGAAACGTCGGGAGATTCTTCGCCGACTTGGAGAGCATGAGAAATTGATCGAACTCGCCGGCAAGACTCGCGGACGATCTATTTTTACGCGCTTGTACTCCTCGAACGAGGATAAAAGATCGCGGCGCTTCTCCGTTGGCGAAAGTGAATTTCGCGAACGGGCGAAGCTTTCGCGACTTCTGAAATTCATCGAGCGGAACGACCGAGCGTCAGTCTAAATAATGGCCGGCTAATAAATTCTGTCGATTCGAAGGATGCTCTTTGATTCGCGGGAGCGAGGACGAGCGGAAAGAACGGCGACGCGCTGCGCAAACGTACATGAAGCAACACCGATTGCGTCGACGCCTGGCGTGTTTGTCGCAACAGGGGTGTATGTTAGGACTGAGGGTTGCTCGCTGAGACAGGGCTCGATAGGGTGACTCGCAATGACGTAACAAAGCGCGCGTTTTGCCAGGGGAGCATGTCGCGACAAGAGGTACAACTACCCCTCGTAGTAGTTCGGGCAGGGTTCGCCAACCTCTTGAAAATCGTTAACACGATTGGGGTGCACATCCCCCCGACTTTGTTTACTGTGAGCTTCCACTTGCGGCATACTTGTTAAGTAAACGCTCGTAGCTGTGCATCTCTCAGCGAATCTTGTGCGTATAAATTGGATATTGTTGTATTGTTGTAAATAAATTCAATCGTCATAATTCGCTAAACAGCATACACCCGCCTTTCGTGTTCATGAACATGAATGTAAAATTGAAATGTAATTAATTAATATCTACGTTGCTGAGTTGTGCTCGTATCTGTACATTTGTACCTGCGATGGTTATATTTTCTACGCAAAGACAGGACACGTCTGTTTGTTCAAACAGTCGTGACGATTACGTTTACAACGCGATAACGCGAGATACGCCGATTAAAATGCTCGTACGCAGTGGTGTACGTATCGTTGCATTTTTATCGCACGCGCTTCAGAGGAACATCGTTTCGCATCGCATCGCATGTACCTGGTGTCGCGCATTTAGCGAATTGTAACGCGCGAAACGAGTGTGCTATATGGAGGAACTGACCTATCGACGAAGCTTAACCTTTGCGACGTCACGCGACCTGACATTTGTATCCGGCAATTATGCGCTTCCAGTTAGATGTAACAGGACGCTTCCACCCCTTTGGTTGATACGTCGCCCCAAGCGCCGATGGGGATGGAAACCGAGGATGGAAATTTCGGAGCCGCTCCACCTCCACGGAACAGGAGCTCATATGTGCCCGTAGCGCCATTATAAACGCATGACTTTTATTAAGTTAGCTAATACGACCACATCGTGTCGCTTTTTGTGAAAATATTGCGGAAGAAATATTTATGTTGGAAGGATTGCGTGTTGTTTATTCTTCGTAGCATTCTGAGGAGCGACAGTCAATCAACGACTTTTAGCCGCTAGTGTTTTGTTACATAAACATGCGCGATCGTCTACTTGTACATTTTAATTTATGTTATAAGTTCAATAGATAAGTTTGATATACAATAGTCGACTTGCCAAGTACGAGTAATGTGTCATTGCAAAAATCATACGTTTATTGGCTCCTTGAGATATGTATGAATCGCGAAAACCAGACAGACAATCCCGGTGAATCAAGATGCAAGGACAGTTAAGCTTGCAGGTTTTCGATCGCCTCCACATATCAGGGTTTCATATTCGAGTAAGATTTTTTCCGATTGATAGAGGTTGATATTGCAGTGATAACTCCGCTTACGCGGTAATCGATACTCCCCTGATATCTTTACTTACGTGCAATCGGAAACTATTCACGCAAAAAATTGTTAAGACGCGCGACAACACTATGAAACAGCATCGTGCAAACTGACGTATGTTAATCGTAGCAAATGTTGAAATAATATTAATCAATAAAATTTATATGTATCTCTCGTATCTAATTATAATGTATACGAGTAATAATAATAAGTATTTAATTATTTATGTTCGGCTTCATAAATTTCAAAGAAGCAACCATTATAAAGATGCTTTAATATATCGAATTAATAAAAGACGATTTATGATGTATATATCCGATGTGTGTCGGATGAATATAATTTAAGCGCGATACGACATATTATCTAAGAATGAATGCAATTTTTATTTATGAAATACACTAACCTGGTGGAAATCTTTCGCCGACCACCGTTTCGATCCATTGCTGAGCTTCGGCTTCTTGGCTCGCTTCTCGCTTACCAGCAACCTGTACATAAGTAGTTGGAAATTGACAGTTAAAAACGGAAGCGATAAATCTTGAAAGAAAAGAACATGTTCACAGATATGATACGTGCTACCCAACCGTATATTTTGCAAGAGAAACGCTTCAAAAATATGCCAGAGAAATGACAACCGAGTGAGACACTCGGCAACTGCGAAAAGTTAGAGAAAGATGTGTTATTTATTCAACATTTCTCTCACACAGACATCGAGACGTTTAATTTTATATTTTGCGCAAGCAAAAGTATTTTAAAGAGAGTGCAAGAGGAGGCGGTTCTCTGAAGAGGAATAAGAATAAAAAGATGTTTGGTAATAAAAAAGAGAATTTTCTGAAAAAATTCCTTTCTTACTTTACAATGTAACATTTACTGTAAAGGCGATTATTTTTTTCTAACATTGTCAAACATATCTCGTGAATTGTATTTTCTAGTACTATCCAATAAACAAATAACATTTGAAGCATTGTTCAATATGAGAAATTATTGTATATAAAGCATAACATTCTGCTGAGATTTACAGATAATCAAATAAATTCTTAATAAATACAGTCTTCAGTCAACGACTGCCACCGAATTCTCGGAATCACGTAACAACTTTTTGTTCATTCATTCTACAATTGTTCGACGATGTGTGTGTTATGTTACCGCAGGAATAACACAGATGATGAAATACCTCGGCATATCGTGTAACATTAACGAGCATTGTTGACAGTTATAGAATGAAGATCAAAGGGATTACTAATAACTAACTTCTTCTCCTCTCTTTTGGTCTCTCTTTCTTTACATAAAGAGAATAACCATCCTTCTCCCTCCTCTGCCTTTCCCACTACTATTCCCCTCCGATTATATCGAATGAAATTTTTAGACTTTAGAATTCCTAGGATGAATTATGTTTTAATATAAGTTATCAGTTTCCGCAGAAACTTTCAAAAATTGCCGTAGCCGATGGTGTTTCACATCGTCATGGCGGGGTATTGGTAAAAGTTTTCAACTAGCAATAATCGCACCTCGGTAGAACCTCATTGGTTACGATATCGCCACTGCGCAAAGCTGACGATTCTGGATAACTGCGCTACATTTATAAGCGCATTGGAAAGATTTTAACTTCGAGAAAGTGTTCACGTAGCTCCACGTAGCGTCCACTTTCGGAACTAACGAGCGACTGAAATCAAGCGACATAGTCATGCTCGTCGACGTGCTTGCCCGCCTGATGCCCGAGCACGAATAAAATCTGCCATTATTAACAGATAATTTAAATGACCGACTATCCGAGTATTTGCGAGAAAATATATCTGAACAGGGGAGCATGCCGGCGAGAAGTTGCGCGATCATGACGCGCGTGCTCGACGCGATATCGCCTGTTTCTTCATGTTGTGCCTCTTACTTTGCGTACTAATACTTTGTACCAATACTTTGTGTTCTGTATTAGAACGAAGGAACGTTTTCGCACATTATTTTACGGCAAAACAATAATATATTGTATAAAACTAAATTGTTCTAACGCTGACAAGGTTTCATATGATAGAATGACAAACTATAATATCACGTAATGCAGACGAGAAACGCAACGTATTACGTCCAATTATAATAATTAGTAATAATATGTAATAATTAAAATAATAATAAACAAGCAATAATAATAATAAATAAAAAAAATAATATCATTGCGTAGATACATTTTTTTTCTGGAACATTTCAACTTGACAACAGAGTTTTTATAACATCACGTCGACGCTGCGGGATTTTTACAATCTCTTTTTATAGAACGTCCTAACAGATTGTATTTTTTTTTCTCTTCTCTTTTCGAGAGGATTACCGACGACGTGCTATTTGTTAAAGAAATCGCGCACAGTTATGTAACACGCGTGCAGACGAGCGCATCACAAAGTCGTTCCAGATCAGTTTCTATACGCGAGTCCGTTGTGTTACGATAAACTTGGAAACAGCGACGATTGACGAAATCTAAACTCGGCGGTGGCCTCACCCTTCGAAGTGGCCAGAATCCAGAAAATACGACGTTTACGTATCGGCGTTTTCATCTGGCGAGTCTCCACGTCCATTAAACCGCGGTTTCGCGCAAAATACACCCACTTGTTCGAACTTTTCCGCTTTACGGATCCGCCGATTTTCACGCGCGCTCAGTTTATAATGCACGCACGGCGTCAGATATTGCAGATGATATTTCGTAAAACGTCGCTTTAAATTGCATCTTATTGTACCATGCTTATTTTCATATTTGTTGCGTGAATTCCCGCAAAATATCCTGATGAAACAGATATGCCGTCATTTCTATAGTCGTTGCAACACGTTGCAAAGACGTGTCCGCAAGAAAAGTACGGTCTTTACACGGTTCTTTTTAGATAAATTTAATACAAAAGAACACGCATAAACGACGTGCTTTTTTATCTTTCGAGAAGCAAACCATCCCGACGAGCATTATTTTAATCGTCAATTAATAACAACAACTAACAACAATTTTCAAGTGCTCTTCTCGTGTTGATTCGCGGATATTTTATTTTACCGTTAAAAAAGAAAAATAAGAACCGAAACAGTGAACAATAGTGCTTGAGACACGTGTAGCTTTTAAAACGAAACGTGCACCCTAAACACAAAAATAGGTTTCACGGCTTAATGCACGACCTAAATCGAGTGTCGACCGGGTGAGATGATTCGTGGAACAGAAACTTTACGCGGTTACAGACGACTTATCAATTGAATCGCGGAACGCGAAATCGAATGTTCAAAGTTAGATTCGCGCACAGAACATGCCGCTTTTACACGCCAGAAATAGATTGGTACATTACACATGCCGCGCAGCTGCATGTCGGCAAGAAAAATTCCAAATTAATCGTACTGATCGTACGATCAGAATTGCATCAAGAGCGATAAAAATGATTCCGCTAGAAATCAGAATAGTTTGAAGTAATCGAATTAAACCGCGTTGATTGATTGAAATAAAAAAATCGAAATAAGATCTTTACTCAAAGAATAAATTACAAAATCGAATATAGCTCGAGATCTGCAATTTTTCACGCGTCCCTCAATATCGCGAATCTCTTCTCTCTGTCTCTCTCACTCTCGTCGCGATCGAAGTTTCCCTTTATATCGTCGTTTTACCTTTCCCCCCGCCTTTAGTACCCACGCAAGATACGACAGCGAGTGTCGCGTTGACAATGCCAGGTGGTTACCCGCCCAATGTGAATTGTAATTTAATTTAGGGCCAAACCACGTCTTGTAAATAGGGTCGGGATGTCAAGATTTAGTTACGAGCGGGGGTGTGGGAATACCCACTCAACTGGCGACAAGCCAGAAAGCATCCGCTGCTGAATATCGGCAGGAAAGACACGGCTAGGAGGGGATAACACCATATAGCGTCGCGACGCACGGCGTCCGATTTAGTTTCTACTCGGCATCATCTAAGTTTCAAAGTCAGACTAGCCGGAAAAACTATCGTCGCCGAGGAAACGCCACTGCAACGATATGCCGGTACGTTCTCCCACGTTAAAACGGACTTGCCGTCTCGGTCGTGACGATCGATCGCGACGCGATTGCGGAGTGACGCGTCTTTAGTGAAAAAAAAAAAAAAAATACACTTCTTATTTACATGCTACATTATATTCTGTTAATGTTATGTTCTTTTATGCGAGTGCATGTCAATTATGCATGCGCATACGAACGATGAGCATAGCGTGTCATAAAACTTTTATACTTGTCGCTGAAAGAAAAAATGATCAATATCTGCAAGCAATAATCGAGAAGTATGTGAGACACGTTGTAAGCGATACAAATTATAAAAATACGATTTTAATCGCGGAAATGTCTCGATATTACCGACAACATAACCGTTTTCAATGTAAATCTTACGAGATATTTTTGGTTGCGATCCAATTCATCATTCCGATATGTAGATTTGCGTCAGTAGTCTGATGTACGTCTTTCATCACACACATCCGGTGTGTATTTTTGTCCTAATATAAATAACGTTATGCAACGCAGACTTTTCGACTCCAGAAACCGTAAAGCAAAAACGAATCTAGAAAATATCGGCGTACGGTTAAACGATGACTTTCCGGCCGGGTAAAAATAGTTGCGTACTTTACGTGACTCTGTTCGTTGCAAAAACTGTTAGCGACGCTAAATTAAATTAATAATTACCGCACCCGACAATGTATATATATTCTCGTCAACAAGTTTCGTTAAAAGATATTACAAGAATTTGATAAATTATCTGACATGCGTATTCACACAATGATTCGAAGCAGTGACAGCGTAACAATCTAATCCGATCTAACATTGTGCTCTTTGTCATTGTTATGGATGATTTGTAATTTGCTTGTATTAACTCTACTGTTTGGCTTTCATCTCGACGTTAAAATTAACATAGGAGTTGCATGTTCGCGTACACCCTCGTTATAAGTGGATGTAGATTTATCGAGACTCGTAGCTAAGTTTGTCGAGCCTCGTCCTACGTGCAACGCTGTGCTCGATTATAATATGCAATTCATGCAAACGATGCGACGAAATACATCTACGGGGACAGGTGCGCGGCTCGATCTGTCGCCAGCCAATTCACTGGAGTCGCAAATCGCACGAGGACCCCACCTAATTTAACTTTAAATTTAGTGAGTGGCCACGGCATGAGCTGCGCGTCACGTTCGCAAAACGTCCGCGGAAGCGGCGAGGCCGAGCTTTCGTCCGAGCGGAAGCTGCTCCCCTTGAAAACGATGCTTAAAATACCGTTCTGATGCGACGAGGAACACGTTGCCTCTCGCTAGAGTCTGACACCTCGCAGATAAGAAGTCGGGAATTCCAGTCGATGGCTTCCACATGACGCACTTGCACGCGAAGCTATCTGTTTACTTCACGGCCAATACCGCACGGCAAAATTCATTTATGGCATGACCGACGTTGCATGATCGATATTGAAGAACTGGCAGCAAATCCAATTTCAACTTTACTACTAGAATGTTACTTTACCTCACAATCATCGGATATATATATATATATATATATAATATATATAAAATATTGAAGTTGAATAAACTTAAACCGAAACCATTTAATTTTTCCCTCTTCAATTTTTTTTAAATATATATCAAATCTAAATGTGACAAGGAGAGTAGATCTTCGTCTTCCTGCCAGTTCTAGGACATTCCGCAAATGTCTCGCGTCATGTCTATACTTCGTCGATACAACTCGGTTAAAAAGAAACAGGCTTTCATCGAGTCTGTTTGACGTCCGCATGCTGGATTTACAAACATAGATCTAGCTTCATTGTTGTGTGTGTGTGTGTCTGTGATAGTACTATTACTTTGTTATCATGTCTATTGAACATAATACGACATTGTAACTAAAAATAACTGCGTTAAATGTGCATCTGTACCGACGGAGAGAGAAAGAGAAAGAGCGAATCGTCCATCGTACATCTTATCGCACAATAATGCGCTCAATTAGAGCCTTACCGATCTTACTATCCACGGTAATGCCTTAGTCTTAGTCAAATCAACGTGCCAAAATATTATAAAATATATTCGCGCAGCTGCGCTGCTCTCGAAACCGCGCGATCGTGACGTAAATACAAATTGCACAATTCCATTGTATATCGACGGCAACATTACGTTTCCCAAAATATCACACGCTCGAGCAAATCGGGAATTTTATTCGTGGGGCGATCGCCATTATATATACGGCTACGGTATTTATCGCGTGGTTTCGAATCCGCAGCCTCTCGCGCGGTCGTAGTGTTTCATTTCGCTATAAATACAAATTTATAGCGCCGACTGAAGGGTGCCAGATTCATTTGCTTGCGTCAGTCAGCTGTTTGAGTCATAAATCGAAGCGCGTAAACGTTAACAAATCCCAAAAGCGCGAGAGCGATTAAAAGACGCGAGAATTATCCATTTTCTGTTTTTTGAGAATATTTGTCCAATTTAAGCGCAAGTGCAGGAATTGCAAGTTCAAACGATAGCCGCGTATGGATATCTGTTATATTTAATATTTTAAACCTCGGATATTATTGTATGATTAAATATTACATTCCCTTATTTAACTCGAGAACTTTCGGCTTTCTTATTCAGAAGGAAAGACAATACAATTCACCTGGCGTGTGAATTACGATTCGTTATAGATGTAAATTCACACGGCACGGTAAAACAGGTGGCTGATGAGCTAAACACTCCTTTGCCAGTTTTAATAAAAGCTACGAGTTCACGGACGCCGTATTTTATTTTCGATGCTGGACTTTACGTGGGTAATCCTACACCGGCGCGTGCGATCTATTTCTGATACACAGCCATTTTTAAATCATCGAAGAAAACGCTTGCAATATCCGAAAGCACTCCGAAGGAAATCTCATCGCAACGAAGTGAAAATTGAAGCCCGATTGAAAATAATTGTCTTAATTAAAAATTATTATTGTCGCGGCTGTAATTTCTACCGAATTACATGGTATGTACTTTGTACTTTGTAGAGTCGTAACAAGGAGCAAGAGGCCGAGATTCTCGGCTGGATTGAGACCGTGTTAGGCGAGAAACTCCCTCCTGGAAACTACGAGGACATCTTGAGGGATGGTGTGATTCTTTGCCAATTAATTAACAAACTCGCGCCCGGATCGGTGAAAAAGATTCAGTCTAAAGGCACCAATTTCCAGCTTATGGAAAATATTCAAAGGTGCGCGATATAGTAAATGATACATAAATTTTTTGGAATCTTAGAATCTCCGAAATTGTAACTGCAAAATTCGACTTTCTTAATCTGTCCATAGATTCCAAGCGGCAATCAAAAACTATGGTGTCCCGCAAGAGGAAATTTTCCAAACCGCGGATCTCTTCGAGAGACGTAACATCCCCCAGGTCACCCTCTGCCTGTACGCGTTGGGCAGAATCGTAAGCATTTCCAGCAGATAACTAATCGATTATTTACAGAGCCGTAACTAGGAAGTATAATGTTCGCAAGAAATTATATTTACTACTTACGACAAAAATTAGAAAGCTAAGGTGTGATTTTTATGTTGAAAGAAATTATTGCGTTTAAATATTTATCTTTATAAAATATTGAATTTTTCTACTCAGAATACGAGAAATAATTTAAATTTCGCAAATTAATATTAAAAAAATAGATAATCATGGAAATTTACTAATGTCAAATTCTGTGTTCATCATGTCCTAATTATGGCTCTAATTATATAATGAACAGTGGTCACATTTAATTGGTAAATGTTTCTACGATAGACTCAGAAACATGAAGAATGGACTGGACCTACATTAGGACCGAAGATGTCAGATGAAAACAAGAGAACCTTCACGGATGACCAACTTCGTGCCAGTGAAGGTCACTTGGGTCTTCAAATGGGTTACAATAAGGGTGCCAGTCAAGCTGGCCATGGTGGTTTCGGCAATACGCGGCATATGTAAATCTTTCTTAGAAGCAAATTAACGTACCTCTCATTAATACATATATCTACAATGACTGTTTAAGCTACCAAACATGCAACACGGTAAAATAAAAATATCGGAGTCGCATTTTTCAATCATCAAAATACGAGGATATAGATCTTCTCAAAGTATCTCCCGAATTCGCATAAATTTCGCATAAATTCGCATAAATTTCATAAATTTCAAAAATAATGTCCGATTATTTCTTACTGTCACGATTATTATCGGTGTAAACGAGTTCAAGTATAATTTGCACTAGCTTTTCCGTGTTACAAGTAATATAAATATCTGTTTTACATCGTCACGAATATACATTGTCTCTCTCTCTCTCTCTCTCTCTCTCTCTCTCTCTCTGCAATATCCGATAATTATAATTACTAGATTTTAGTCAACCCCACAAATATTGATACTTAACAACTCTAATACATTTTGTTCCTTTTCTACATATAAAGCGTCAATAAGCGATGTTAATTATTAACTTCCTCTCTATTCTCGCGGCAGAAAATATTTTTTATATAAACTCTCATAATAGTGTAGTTTTGCATGTGAGTATGAGCTCTTATTACTATCGATGAAATTGTGGTTAAAGCGCTTTATATTTTATGAACTCTTAATTTATTTAAATGTACACACACACACACACACACACACACGCACATATATACATTATCACTTACTCAAACAATTTTTATCGCACAATTATATTTTCGTTATTAAATACATACTCGTTTAAATATCTATTATCGTATACAACGATAAAACAAAATATTACTTGATATTATATGAACATCTGACACAACATATACATACATACAACAGTACATAAATTCGAAATGTTTACACATTTAGGGCATATTAAACTTAAAACATATACACTAAATATTCACACATATATACGTACACATACGTTTACACGTACACGTAATTATACGTATACATTTTGTAACACGTACACGCACGTCTGCATACACATAATACACGCACACAATACTACGCTACACTACACTATTATACAGATATTAATATGCATAATTCAAAAGTTCCAATAAATTCATATAGACCTCTAGAATATGTAAAAATAGTTTCTACGTTTTGCTATATAATAACTATCTTGACTTCAAGTAATATTTCACGAAAACAAAGTTTCTGCAAATTTCAATTGTACTGCGGATAAGTATGATCTTTTCTATTTGTTTTGTAAATCAAACTGCATGAACTGTATTCACAACTTTTGTAGATTGGTAAATTAAATCAATACACAAAATTCGACAGTTTTGTTATTACTTTTTTACCCAATACATGCGCATATAATATAAAATATGAATACTATTTTGGAGAACCGACTATATTGACTTGTATCCTACTATTATACATTAAATACGTTGCAATTCACCGTAATAAATTTAGCACGATTCTAACATGCATTATGAAAAGAGAAGTAATCTGTAAATAAGTCTCTAAAATAAACGCTAATATTACAAACGATTAAAAGGAGGAAGTGCAACAGCTTCAAAGATACCGACGTTGCTATTTGGGTTTAAGCCAACCTCATGAAATGTTCGCGATGATCATCTCCCTTATGTGCTGGCAATCCATTTTACGCTAATGAAGTTAATTGGGAGACATTAAATTTGTCCAATATAAGAAAATTTATGATTACCATTCTGCAGAGATTAATTAATTAATATTTTCACGAACGGAAAGTTCGTGCCGAGATATAAGAAATTCACAATATTGATTACATTGATATCGAAGAGAGAGATCAATTTTTTACCGTCGCATATCAAATGGGCGAAAAATTTTCTCGCGCGACATAATTTCCACTCACTCTATTGTACCTCCGTATTTATTTAGATCGCGTCCACACGGCTTAAACGTATAAAAATACCCGCCACTGTTTGTAAATAAATCCGGAACGCGAATTCGCGTCACTGCGACGCATTTTTCTGAATTTTTCGGGGAAAGTAAGTAACTCGCACGTGTGTATCACGAAAGCACGCTTCCGCCGTATAATTGCGCCGCGGTATAATTTAATTCATACTTTTGCTTTCCTTGGCAGATCTTAGTGCCTTTCGGTTTATTTCTGGATCGCCGTGGCATGGCGGCCATTGCTGGACTCGGGTCACGGCTCCATATCAGTTTATTCCGGAATGGGATCGACCTTCTCGGAAGACAACCCTAAGATGCGTCTCAGTTTTTTTTTTTCTTATCGATTATTAAATAACGCAAATTAATACTGTCAATTTGTCATCACTGTGTCAGTACAATACGGACAAAATGCTTATAAAGTTTTGCTCGCTCCGAAACTCGAAAGACGGTTAATTGCTCACCATCATCACGCTTCACTTGAGATTACATTTATTCGCTCACGTTCGGTAAGGAAAACGGTAAGAGAAACGGCAATAAATTTCGACCGATGACTCGACTGTTGAGCGCGAGTCCTGAATTAGAAGCGAGTTTTAACGCGAGAACCAACGAAAATCTCGTAAATTGACGTAGCAGTCCGAAATAGAAAAGCTGTCACTGCTTCGAACATGAGGGATCGTCAAAAATATGAGCGCGATATATCGAGAAATCTCACTCCTGACGTGTGACATGTTTCATATACAGACACACACACATACCTCTGAATCCCTAATTTGATGCCATCGCACAGAACCACGAGAATCGCAATTAAGCGGAGGAGACAAACGCAATTATCGAGTGCGCGCCGCCGCGCACTCATTTGTTACGCGGTAACCTCGAAAAATGGCGCGCGACTTACTTGCCAAAGTGGGCGTCCGGGCATGGCGTCCAGGCGATTTGCGTAACTCCTCTCGACTTCCTCTCCCGAATTCCGCGGCGTGTCGCGCGTCCACAGCAGCTTTTCACCGACTCAAGCTCAAGCACAAAAAGAGTGCTCCACCGCGGCCGGCCTGCGTATATATGCGTGACAGGTGCGCATCCGTGTTGGTGAAAACGTGGGGGCGCTTCTATATATGGATCACTTACTCACCACTTACTTCCAGTGCCGAATGCGATCTATCGAATTCCCACATCCGCGGGGGAAGATGGCGAAATGGCGCGAACGATGTCCTACCGAGACGACCGCTATCTTAACCTATCGACGATTGGGGGGGGGGGGGGGAAGAAACAGATTACAGAACGACGCTCCTACGCTCATGTAGCCTCGATGATATCAATGAAAAATCTTACTTCCTAGTTTCGCACGTCAAACGCCGTCTTCGATTGCTCTATAAAGGGTCATGCAACGACTGCGACGCGTCGCTCCAGTTTCCCGAGGTAGCTAGGAAAGTCCGCGGGCTGTAATCAACAGGGTAGCGTGGCCGAGCGGTCTAAGGCGCTGGTTTAAGGCACCAGTCTCTTCGGAGGCGTGGGTTCGAATCCCACCGCTGCCATTTCTTTTTGCTCCTTTCGCACGCGACGCAGCGGCCGCGGCCGCCGCACTTGACGCGAGCCGCCCCGCCAGCAGTGCGCGTCGACCGCGCAGCGTGCGATTAGCAGAGACACGCAGTGATAGCGTCTTCCTCGAAGGTCCAATGGGTTGCGTCGGCACGCGGCGCCGTGGTTCACACCTAACAGGATAACATGCGTCGCCAGCAGGTCGGAGCTCAACCTGTCGTGTAACGACATCTGTCACGCTACGCCACATGACCATTCGTAAAGCCGTGCGGCGACACCTGTCGGCGCGATGATGTACGACCCTAACGGACTTAAATCGCAGAGCGGATAAATTCACGCACTTGCTCGTCGCCCGAAGCACCATCAACGGAATATGAACTGAACGGATATCTACTACTGAATTTTGTCTTCAGAATAAAGACTTTTATATTTTATGATTATGCGTGCAGCTCGTGTGAAGTTTGATTTTACAATAAAATAGCAAGACCGATGACAGATTTTAAAGGAAAGGACAATTACCTGTTGCCCGATTGAGAAATCGACGATCTCACACTCGAGATATCTTTGGTTAGAAATGGACGACACAAACGTAGACGTCATTCTTTCACACAAAATAGACCTCCGTTTCGGACGATTTTTAATTGACTTGAATATTCGGAATATTATGTTACCGTATGTAAGACAGATAGTTTACCTTCAAGGAAATCAAAATAGGATTCCAATCGACGGGATACGGTGCGGAAGAGTATGTGTGTGTGTGTATGCTCCTTACGGAAGCTCACTCGTGGAATCCCCATGGCTCCTGCAAGCAGATGGGATCCTGCTGACGTTGTTGTCGTCGGGGGCTCGCCATTCCTGCCGTTTCTGTAGAAAGGGATCGTTATTGAACGCTTATGAAACGGCGAAGGGGAGAACGAAACGACCGCTATAATAATAATCATAACATCGGAAAAAGGAGAACGGAAGTGTGCTCCGGAGCGACGTGGTATCCTGATACAAGTTTCATTCAAAAGATGCTACCACGGACCACGCCCAAGCTCGACGCGCAGCTCGCACGAGAGAAATCGGCAAGTTATCGCGATGTATCGCAAATGGGCCGGTCAAGTTATCATTTACGTTATCATTTACTTCCTGAATATATGTAAATTCTTTTACCGTTACATCGTATTCTGCAATTAGCAACGTAATTAGCGTCATACACACGCGTGCGCGTTTAATATCACACGGTACATGAAAACGAATCGCTGAAACGAGAAACAAAACGGCGTTAAAAGCGACGAGTATCGTCTGCATCCACATTTCTTAGTCCTTTTTATTCGCATTCTCGTGGCGTCTTTATCAGCATTTCTATGTCGCTATATACCGGATAAATTATAACGACATGTGACTTTTTGCGTAACGACTCGTCTGGCCGTATCTGTACAGACACATTGATTAACTCGATAAATCCCCGAAGAAGTGTTACATTTTCGCGTTGCATTATGCGTTTTAAAACACGACGAGATATGCAGCGAATGCGTCGAATTTAGCGACTCTCCTCGTGCGATAATTAAATTCAGATCGCTATCAGATGTCGCATGAGATCACATTGTCTTCCGGATGGAAGGTTTAAGTATCGATTTAACAGCGTCGATATAACACGACTCCGTGGCGCAACGGTAGCGCGTCTGACTCCAGATCAGAAGGTTGCGTGTTCAAATCACGTCGGGGTCACAGGCTGTAACTTTTGCCACGCGAGATAACTCACGAGATGCATCCGTTCCTCCTCACGTGACGAATTAAAAAGCTTTTTTTTTTCTAAATCGTCAAATATATCGCGAACGCAAACATTCGAGAGTCAACGAAAGTCGAGTCTGCTTAACGATAATTAGTCCGCTCCTCATCGCTGGTTCTCCTCTCTTTCCCACCGAGTCCCAGCTATTCGCGTTTGTTTTTTTTTCCCGAAAGCGCACCTAATTCAGCGATGAAGATCCGACCTAATACCGCAAGCGGGACAAATTCGGCCGCCCGAGTCCTCGGTTATTCAAGAATCCGAGACTGTGCGTAGCTCCAGTTGCAAATTTATCGCGTCCGGTCTCGGCCGGTCGGAATCAGGTCGAGGCATTCGCAGACGCAACGCGTCGCTTCCTAAACGGCCGACTCGCCGCGGGAACGACGGGCGATCTCGACCTTCGAGCGAAATGAATTGCGCATTATTCCGCACGTGTTCGCACGCACACGAGCGAGCAGTGGCGAGTAAGCGAGGCGAAGCCGACGCACATGTCGGCGGCTGCGTCCCTTCGCAATAAGGCACGGTGCGTGCTCACATCCCGCACACAGTCCGTGCTTTACCAGGGCAGCATGAACGGCGTGTCTCTCTCCTCTCTCGTACAGTTGAGCGTCATTCGCGCGGGTTGTCTCATTTAGCCCCTCCTCGTACTAGGCGAACACGCGACGCGAGGAGCTCGCCGTCCGGGCTCTTGTATTACCTAGGGCACGTACTTTCGTCCGAAGCGGTTTCCGCTCAACAGGATTGCATGGTCGCGCTGGCGAGATAACAACGATGTCGCCGGCTTGTCAATGCCGACGTGGCGGAAACGTGAACGCGCGGATGTGAATGGAAATGGATCCGCGCGTGACAACAGCCGGCCTCTCAACGCGATCTCTTGACGCCTCGCCCTCGCTCCTCCGAGGTCCTGAGATTCCCGACTGGAACGAGTACATTGCTAATTAACGCGGCAGCGTCACGCTTGACAGACGATGCGAGGATAACGTGTGGGAGAGAAATTGACTTTAGCGTATTTCCGACAAAAAACATTCCCCCCACGCTGTCTTAACACGCTGGAATCTGACGAACTCTTGCTTAAAGTTTAAAGGTTATATAATTCAGGCAGCCGCGGGAAATGCTTTTAGCCCGAAAATTAAGTCACGGTTTTGGGCTTATTATTAGGACGACAAGCTAAAGGTTCACTGAATAATTGAGAGACCTGATCGGTGAAACTGATTGATTTTCTTATTGCTTACGTTCATCCGCGTTTCCAGCCTTACGACACCTTGAGACGCGGCCGTTTGAAGGTTACACGAGGATTCGATCGGAGTATTTTTTCCGCATGATGCGGCGTATGATATTCTATTGCGCAGTCTCCTTAAAACCAGATAAAAAATGAGCTCATAGCCTCGCCTCTGTCCACGTGCATATGTATGCAGATCTCGACGAGCGCGTTCCTCGTCGGACACGAGCCAGGCGACCCTGAGAAGCGGCGTCGCTTTTCTTACGCAACTCGCGTCGATAACCACGACGCATGTTCCTCCGAACATGCGCGATGTCGAAATAGCAAGGCGCTCCCGTCGAAGCGATCGTGCTCGCCGAAGGAGAGTTCACGAAGGACGTGGGGCGCCGAGAAGGAAATGCGCGTCGTGCGCATTCCCTTCTTACCAACCAACCAGCCAACCAACCTACGTCCCCCGCTCGTTCTCGTCACCGCTAATTTACACGCGGCCATGCGGTAATCTGCAGTCAACGGGCAGAATGGACATAATCAACAATTTAACCGACTGGAGAGCAGGAGCGCAGCATCGTGCAGTTGGCGAGCGGCCGCGAGGTGGCGGCGGCGGTCGCGCTTGCGCGATACCTCCCACCGTCGGCTGTTCGCCGTGGATCGGAAAGACACAATTTTGAGGAAGAGCCGCGCGGGCCCTAAGCACCGTCGCCACTCGCCATAGCCCATTGGTCCACGGCGATCTCTTTCCACTGCTTATTGGTTCATTAACTCCGGCGTGGACGGAAATTTCGGCAGGGCTACAGGCCCGCGGAACGGCGCGCGGTCTCGCCCGGGTCGTGTCCGTGCGCTCGGGAATTCCCGCGCACCACGGGTCGCCGTCGCGCCCAACGACCGTGCTCCGGACACGCTCCGGACGACGGGAGCCCGCCGTCGCGCGAGGACAGTGACACCGTTTTTCCCCAAAACCGGCATTAATAATACCGTAATCTCTCAAGTGTGCGCGCGCGCGCTTCGCTCTGCCGCCGCCATCGCTGTCGCCGCCATCGATAAGGCGACGTGCCGACGTCGACTTCGACCGTGCGAGTTTCTGTGTATCGTTCGATGTTCGAGTTTAATCGAACGACGTCGCGTGCACGCATCGCGCACCGCGCAATGCGACATATGGATCGAACGTTACTGCGTTTTCCCCTAAAATTTTAGACATCGGAGTGGGGCTCCGCGAGGGAACGATGCGTGTACGAAGGCGTATATGAATGTGTGTGTGTGTGTGTCGCGTGCGTATATATGTGTGATTGGTATACAGGGTGACTCGCAGGACGCTTGAGCGAGAGTCAACATCTCACCGACACGTGTCCTGTGCGATAACGGAGAATGGAATTATGATTTACGAACGATGAATAATAAACTATATCGATATGTTCATTATATCATACACGTATATTCACGCATATGTAAATTTGAGGGAATTGTCAAAGGAATTGTGCGTTCGTGAGGCATCGAAATTTTAACTTCGTCTTCCTAGTCGTACGCACAAATATTCGACTGTGTGTGTTCTCTTCTGTTGTATAAAATCCTGTATCTTTCTCTAAGTAAACCATTTTACAGAAAAGTGTATAATATTGTGCAAAACTCTGTCATGTTGTGATACTTTTATACATAGATATTAGAAAACAGAAAAAGAAAGGACAGAGAGAGAGAGAGAGAGAGAGAGAGAGAGAGAGAGAGAGAGAGAGAGAGAGAGAGAGAGAGAGAGAGAGAGAGAGAGAGAGAGAGAGAGAGAGATTGCGCTTTGCATTCCTGTGCATCCGAGACATTCCCAATAACGCGAATTCAATTACATACAACCTTGTCTATCGTCTTTCCTACGAATATAATGTCCTCGCCTAATTCCACGACACACCCTGTACATGCTCATGCGTGCGCGCGCGTAGTGGCTTGTGTTGACACTAGCGCTTCTATCGGTGGCGTCACGAAATTACAGGCGGCCGCATGCGTTCCTGTTGAAAAAATTCCTCACGGGCGAAAGTCAAGGTATGACGGAATATCGCAATAACCGCGGCCGCAGCCGGAGCCGGCGGCTTGCTCGTATCGCATGCTCCCCTGGTGCTAGGAGGGGCTCGGTGAGACAACCCGCGCGAAACTTTGTTCAACGTAGGGAGAGCGATCGCCTCCCGTAAGCTCCTGCCGCCTCGTGTTATCCGGATATGATGGTGCTCGCATGCGGGATGTGAGCACGCACCACGTGCTCGTCACCGAGCACATTGGGGTGACGGCCGACGGACGATCGGCGATCGACGGCCACCACCGCCGCCGCCACCGCCACCGCCACCGCCACCGCCTCCACCACCAGACCGCTGCCGACGATTCGTGGTTGTATTCATCAGCGCAATCCCGAGAACTCGACTCTCCTATATCTAGTCAGAGACTGCAGTCGACCGCGATGCCGCGGAGTCAAGTGTGTTGGCCATGAACATAAAAACATGAGCGTTGAAACTTGAGTAATAAGCAAGTCGGCCAATCGCGACTGAGCAACGCGTTTTCGAGCATTCTCCACTGTGATTGGTCGACATGAGTTTGATTTTCATTTTAACTAATTCGAGCGATTAAAAACTGACTGATAAAACAGGATGTATACGTTACATGGAAATGCGAGAATATTGCACGTTATGCGTAAAGCAATGTAAATTATTTGGTAAAAATAAAATCTTTACTATAAGCAAATTTAAATAAACGTAATGGGTTAAAGAACTATAAAAAAGTATTCGATAACGTATTATAATTATTTATGTAAATAATTATTAATGTAAATTATTAACGTAAAAATTAACGAGTATTAATTGACACGAAGAAAATATATTTGATAACCTATATCGAAAAATCCTTTGCTTCATTTAAGAGAACTTCATTTAACAATTTTAATATAATAGTATTTTATTTTGTTTATTACTCTGTATCTCCTTATAATTTATTGTGTAGATTTTCGTAAAAAGTATACTTGTTCACACACAGAGCCATTGTAAGTATTCTGCACGCAAAAGCGAATTAGCAAGAAGACTCCGTGGCGCAACGGTAGCGCGTCTGACTCCAGATCAGAAGGTTGCGTGTTCAAATCACGTCGGGGTCAATCCATCATTTTTGCTGCTTTTTTTCATTATTTTTGGACAAGCATAACTGCCATTTTTATTGCTTTCTCAACGGCAGTGTTCAATAACGCGGATAATACTTCCTTAAACCCTTATAAATAAAAAATAATATCAACTGGTGTTAAATAAACTTCCAACCTAGAGACAAAATAGTCGACGTTAGACTAATAATTACATCTAACGTCTTTTATACAGTTGTAATTAAAATATTGTTTTAATAAAATATATCGTAGGCTTATTATACTTGTTCTTGATATTAATAGCAAAATACTTCAAGCAGCAGTCGTGGCCGAGTGGTTAAGGCGTCTGACTAGAAATCAGATTCCCTCTGGGAGCGTAGGTTCGAGTCCTACCGGCTGCGTGACTGGGTGGTTATTTTTTGTCGTTTAATAGATTGTTATTATCTTTTATAATATAAAAATATCTCCTAGTTGGTCATGTTGCACGTGAAAGGAAAGTGTCTGTTTTGCTGATTGTTTAAATTCTCGATCATAATTAACGTATAAAATCTAAAAATTATTTATTATAATTTTTATGAATATACCGATTATGAATATAGATATAATACCGTCATTTTGAGGGACCGCTATAACTTCTCCTCGATAGTATAGTGGTTAGTATCCCCGCCTGTCACGCGGGAGACCGGGGTTCGATTCCCCGTCGGGGAGTTCTTATTTTTCTTTTTCTTAGTTCTTATTATTGTTAACATGCATTTAGAATTAAATTTTTGCTTTATATATTAGTATAATGTATAATTCTACTTATGTTATATTTGTGTTATTTTTTAAAAATATATAACATTCATAATTAATATGTATTTATATAGAAAAAAAATGTAAGACCAAGATATAATTTCATATTTCCATTTTTGTATCAATATCATTAGTATTGTAAAAAATATATAATGAAAAGATAAAAGTTTCAACTATATTATAATTGTGATGTTATATATGTACTATTTTTGAATCACATAATTAATAATGGTCAATTTAGTTACGTTAGTACAAATCATTAATATTACTAATATGACATAAATATAATACAATATAAAAATTAATGATTTTAATATTAATATATGAAACTACTGATCAAACTAATAATTAGGAGGAAAGCACAAGGGCGCCGTGGCTTAGTTGGTTAAAGCGCCTGTCTAGTAAACAGGAGATCGGGGGTTCGAATCCCCCCGGGGCCTGGTTTTTTTTTACATCACAAGTTAAAAATTTAAATATTTTTTTACAAATTATCATTTAACTAGTTAATATATGATAGTCAAAACTATCAGAGATTTACAAGCACGATAAGCTAAGTAAACATTTTATAATTTTAGAGACAAATTTAGAAGTTAAATAGATATGTGATAAAATGCTGATATATTATTTCTATCGATACAAAATAAAAAACCAAAAACCGTTAAATATCATGCTCAGTTAATATACGAAGAATTCAGACATATGTATGATTATAATATTTATTTATATTTTTCTCATAATAAATAAGTGTGTGTCTATGTAAAATGTATTTGCATATTACATATGTTTTATATAAAAACATGTGTAAGTAAAAATTATTCCTGCTACGCAGCAAGAATTATATACACTGTAATAATGTTCATGATGATATTTAGGATTAAAAATTGAATTTATATCCATTCCCAGAAACTTTCACATGCGCTACTGATGGTGCAGATGAGTAAGCAACACCCAGTAAATTCTGCGACGGTCGTTCAGGTTGTTGCTCTTGCTGCTGCAGCTGATTATCCAGTTCTGGCACCTATATATAATTACTATTAACAAAAATCATACTTAAAATGCGGTCATACAAAGATTATTCCTTCTTTCTTAATGTAAAATACTCTATTAATGTTATCATTAATGTTGTATATTATATAATATAGTCACTTGGACTTTTATCTTCATACTCTCCTGTCGAGCATAACACTAAAGAAACTCACCTGTTGTGAGCTTATTGTTTGCAACTGCTCTTGTTGAGCTTGTGCTTGCGCTTGCCTGAGCGCAAGCAGTTGCGTTAATTGCGCCTGATAAGCAGCATTTGGTTGATATCCATATAAGTAAGCTTGCTGTTGCTGTTGTTGCAATTGTTGCGCATATGCAAACGCAGGATCTACAGAGGCTTGATAAGTTAAAGGGCTAGTTGCTGGTGTCGTTGCAAATGCCTGAGCGACTCCGTAGCCATTTGCACTAGAAGCAACTGGATAATATCCTGGAAATTTAAAGTTTCCCTTCAATCATTGCAAATAAAGGTTTTTTCTGTATGAAATAAGTTACTCTGTAAAAAATAAAATTATCCTAAAATCAATTATCATATAAATTACCTAATTAATTACCTGATCATTTATATAAAAACTACACGTCATTTTAATTTGATTCCTTTAACTTGTATAATTTTCAAATTTGTTGCATAAAAAGATTGCAATGAATATACGAAATTATATTACTCTAAAGGTAAAAATTACATAATATTGTTCTCTTAAACACAAACCTAGGCTGGGATTTCTATAAGCAAGAATCTGCGCCAGACTCGGTAGAACCCTTTGCGCTAACTGAGGATTGCCGATGCTGGAGGAGAATGACTGATGAGAACTCGGTCCACTGAATGCAAACGACGTTTGAGTTAAACCTGGCCTGATAAAACTGAAAGAGGTGTGTGGCTCCGAATTGCCTAACACATTTGTTGGCTTTATGGTTTGAACTGGTGCTTCTGCCGCAACGAGAGAGCACAACATACTGAAGAAAATTACGTATTTCTGCAAATTATGATATATGCTGTTAATAAAGGTATCTTTAACATAAGGACGATTGTGACACTAGAGTAGTTTCTTCTAGAGTAACAGCGAATTATAATATCCTGCAAACTAATCATTTATGTAATATACATCATAAAATTTTCGTTTAATATCGATTATTCATCAATCCATCGAAAAAAGTTGCGCTTCAACATTACAATTATCCTAATCATATTAATCATAATAATGCTATCAACGTACATTTCGATAAAGAGTTAGATCATTATTGTGAGTAAATATTTAAAAAATATAAGAATTACGGAACTAGAACATTTAGATGTAAGAGTAATACATTATAATCCGTCATACTTGTTCACTCACCAACATTGTAAATCAAAAACTATGAATAATTTTGCAGCGTGATAACAGAAGCACAGTATTATCGCTGGCGAAAATCACAACAGTATTACGGCGCTAGGAAAACTTGTGGGGCGCTATATACTACGGAAGCACTCGCTTCGAAACGTGAGTCGCATTCAATCGACGTCATTTTTGTAGATACTTTCTCTGGTATACCGCAATCGAATAATTCATGCACCGTAATGAGACCAGGTGTAACCGCTTCTTTTCCAAAATATATTTGACAGACAGTATCATAAATTGCATCTCGCATAATAATGCGTTATATTCCTTAAGTTTTCACATATAAATGCAAATAGAGATTACAGGTTTGACTAGAAAAGAAAACTGTCTTTGCCGAGATCAAGATCATTGATAACAGAGAAAGCTACTTTCAAAACACTATACGGAGAGCATTAATTGCGATTGGATGAACGATCATTGAATATTAAGCGTTCAGCCGGTAGCATTAATGATGTCAAGCTTTACTTCTGTTACACGTAGTAATATTATACATAGTATGAGCACAAAATTTTTTTTGTACAAGTTCGCCTTATACCTTCGGTAAACGAATGCATCAATTCGTAAATGTAAAATATTATTTTGAAGACTTGTGCTCTAATCTACGAGTTGCTCAAGAGTACATGCATAATGAATATATCACATACAATACATCAGCTTCAAGTAATAGAAATCCGTACATTAGAGAAAACTATTATAGATACAATTTGATTCTCTTTCACTCCTTCACCATGTATAAAGAATGCATTAAAATGTTATATTTATCATATTTTCCACATGAGAGACATTCTTAAGTTTCAAGATTTAAGTTTCAAGATGTCTTTATTTATAGTACAACTGTGACATAGTTTATATTGCCGTATGAATTACAAAATGTCACATTATTGATAACTGACATTTTAATTGTTTGAGGATAGGCATACGTTAAAATAGATAATTGAAAATACGTATCTCAATGGATAATATCTTTAACAACGGATGACTGATTTGATGGAGGTTTGTGCGATGTGACGTATCTAAATCTATGTTCTTTCAACAGACTCTCACACATTCGAGAAATACGATTGATAAAACATGCCCATAGCAGTAGTGGCAAATAACGCGAAGCAACTCCACCATGTTGCTAATCCTAAAACACCTCTGTAAACGTCTGTTGTAAATATCTATAAAGAAACATATTGTTTTGTACTATAAAGAATTATAAGTAGCATTTATTTAGATCATAACAATCATAACAGATTTTGTGTAAAAATATTGAGACATAGTACCTGCTTTAATGAACTTAACGCAAGTTGAAGTTCTTCAGCAGTTTGTACGACAGTCTTATCAGTATTATCATTGCTACTTGTAGGTGGTACGGATGACTTCGGCAATTCATCTGCTGGACATTCCTCTTCGAGCGTTCCTTTCAAGATACCTTCCCACGTAAATCCGCCTAATATACAAAAAATATAAGTAAATTTAAATATAATATACTATTGCTAATCATTCCTGAATATAACAAGAAATGTTTTCTTACCGAGTGTTTTATACAAAAATGTGAAAAATAAACATATAATTATTGGTACAACGAATTGTAACGCTACTACACAGAGATAGTAATATACAGCTGCAATCTGTAACATACAAAGATAATTGGATTTGTTAAGTATGTAAGTATGTAAGTTATCAAATTTGTGTGAGTAAAAAATAATGTTTAATTATTGTATAATTATATTACTGTAATAATATGAATCTTTATCGTATATAAACCTTTTTCTGCAAATCAACATTGGTTATTCTACCAGCCTCCTTTTTTTGAATTTCTAATCTTTGAATGGCCAGATTTAAATAGGATTGCAGATATATTGGCATGAGTACAATCTTCAATAAAACAGCAACAACAACAGCAAGCAATCTCATACTTTCAAACGTTGCAGCTGTCATTCTGTTACAGAAAAATTTTTAATCCTTTTCTATTTAGGCATATATATAAGAAATTTAATACATAGAAAATCTACAAATTTGATTAATTTAGAAAACAACATCGACTTACAGTGGGCCAGTCATGCCACTAAATATCCGCACAGTTAAGTAATCTCTACTTATTGGTGTAATCCATAAGCTCACTAATAGAAAAGGTGAAGCATAGCTGATATTTGCTACCAATAATAACAACTTGCTATCTTTGTAATATCTGCAATAATTTTCTTATGTAGTAAATAACTCTTCAGTGTTCAACATTAATCAATTAAACAAATTAAGTCGATTATACTTCAGTGTATCCCAATGCATTTTTGATACTCTCAATCCTGGAAAAGTAAACAAAGATCCAAGTAGGCCACACCATATAGCGAGGAAAAATTTTACAACAATTTTGGAAGCTGGCCCCCTACAAGTAAAACAAAGAAATAATTGTATTTTACATAATTGTTATAGTACAACAATATATAACTACCAAAGTATAACTAAAGTATGCAACAAATCTAACAAAAATTATTAATTAATGTCAAACATGACTAACTTACGTTGATGAAAGTCCTTGATTATCTAAAAACAAAGAAGCGCTATGATTGAAACTTGTATATGCTTTCTCCAGGCCAATTTCCAACTTATTTTCATCAACTATCAGAACCATCATAGCAATAAGAAGATAGGCAAATCCAGTAACAATACATGTAGACCTTTCACCTACACTTTCTTCACCTTTGAAATATTGTATCCAGAGGGAAAGCAGTACTTTACTAAAAATTATGTAAAGAAAATAGAGCATTGCTGTGACAAAACATTTAATTACTCCTCAGAGGCTAAGAAGCCAAGAAAGAGATCTTCATAGTCCAAAGGATACAATGCGAAACCCAAAACCAATGAACACCATAGTATACTGAGATTGATCTCATCTTTGATTGGATAAAAATAATTGTATACCTGTTAAATAAGAAAAAAAAAGTTCAAATAATGTTGCTAAACACAATCAGCTGTAGATACTATATTGGTCAAGAAATTGTATTTAAAAAAAAAAAAAATATGTTTAGTTATAAATATAGATTCACTGATTGGATAAGACAATCTTAGATTTAAAAATACTAACCTCTGTCAGTATGTAAACAATAGTAGCATATATAGAAAAATCCAATAGCCATTGATATTCTGTATAATATTTTAAGTGTACTATATCATACTTTGTCACTTTTGCACTTTCAAGTTTGATGTCTAGATTTCTAGGGACGTGAAATACATCTCCCACTTTACCATTCTCGTTGTGCTTTCCTTTCTTTGGTTTCTCTTTTGGTATACCAGCTAAAGCTCTAAGTTGTTGATCTGTCGGATACAGATATCGTGTCAATCTGTATAGATAAAAAAACAAAATCATAAAAATCTATTATCCTACTTATTATTCTTTCCTTTTGTTTGTTTCTTATATACTTGTAAATATACATACCCAGTGGAACATAAGATCCATCTCGCAAAGGAAAAATGTGGACTTAATTTTTGAATAGTACTGACCATTATAAGAGTAATGACTAATTGTGCTCCAAGAAGAGCCTGAAAAATATCAAACATAACATAAACATAATAAGAGAAATATATTTTAACAAATATATTCACTTCTTAATATATTTCCACATAAACATTGCTCTTATGGATATATACTTTATTTTCTTATTAAATAAATATAGCAAAAGATATGTTTAAAAAGTATATTCTGAAATGTATCTCAAATGTATATCAGAAATGTAATTTACGCATAAACATTACAGATATTGCAGACGAACATTATCTCTACAGACATAAATAACTCTCTCGTTAAATTTACCATAATTCATGTGTTTTGATGATTTAAATTCTCACAAAAAAGACTGCTCCATTGAAGAGAAGACGTTTCTAAAATCTCGATCAATTCTGGAAAACACAATGGTGAAACATGTCCGATTAATTGTGAATAATGTTTGCTCTACCATTTCAAAGAGCATATACAGAGAAAGTTGAGCTGGTTTTATAAATAGTTATAACCTGGCGACCACATAATATGCGAACAAATGCTTAGATTCGCGCTTCGCACTGGATACCAGTAGGGTTGGGCGATATCACTTCGATTATCTTGACATCGATTATAGGTACTTCATTGGAAAGTCAGAGCTACACTCGCATACATGAACAATTTTTGATTAATCAATTATATTTCGATACAATCCCATTACTACTTCAGTTTACGCTAATTAAATTAATTAATTTCTTTAATAATTAATTTTTACGCAGGTCGATTAATTTTTCCAAAACTTGAAAATATGGTTTGAGTTTTGGCTAAAATTAACCTTTTTAGCAGGAACTCCAACCACAAGTTCTCAACAAAAGTCTCAACAAAATTTAGTCGAGACTCGAACCACAAGTTAGTTAGCATAACTTTTTAGCAGAAACTCCAACCACAAGTTCTAGCCTCAACAAGATTCAGCCGAGACTCGAACCACGTTATTATTTTTTAGCAGTTACATTTTTCAAGGAGATATTGCATTTTTAAGTACAAAATTTGTTTATTTTTCAATTCTTTTAATTAATTAAATTTATAATTTATATAATTATTTATTTATAATAATTATTATTTAAACTTATTATTTACCGCATTTTCTAATATCAGGAAATTTGATTAAAACATGTAGTAATTGGAAGGTTAAGATAGATTTATCAGCAACATGCAAGTCGCATGACGAATACGAAATAAAAAATGCACAGGTTTGTTTCATTTTATAATCAAAATTAATAAAATTCTATAATTATAAATTCAGTGATAAAAACTTTTAGTTTGATATATAGATTTCAACTTCAAAGATTAAAGTTGAAAGATCAATCTGTTTTGGATGATATATAATTAAACAATGATATCCATGATATAATATTTAATTGACAATATTACGACTAGTCAAACTGATATAAATATATAGGTTTAAAATTATCATGTACAAATACGGTTTATAATTTATGACTTTGATTATCCTATACTTAACTACGTATTATCACATAATTACATAATATCTTAAATTGAAGCGCGCGTAAGCGTTTTGCAATGTGAAATGCATATGTACCTCACGGCTCTTCCTCGTATAATTATCACTACCCGCAGGTGTAGACAATATTACTACAGAGCCCATATTAGTCCTATGATAAGACTCTGAGTTGTATAATAAAAAAGAGAAAGTGAAAAACTGTTTGAATATCCCATAATGTTAATTACAATGCGATAAGCATACTCTCGTTGCAACAAATTAAATAAAAATATAAATAAAAAAAAAAATAAAAAATAGCACAACTCATAAATATAGGAACAATACAACACTTCTTGCTTTTTCTCTCTTTCTAGATATTAAATAAAAATTGCAAATTTATATTTCTCAAGTATTATTGTTTATTACTATCAAAACTAAAAATAAAAAAACTGTAGAAACGTTAACATTTATATAACATTCTTATTGTAATCATAAATAAAGTTTCTTAAAATTCTTTCCTTTTGAAGGCGATTTTTAGGAAAATTTGCTATTGTATATTTAATTGTACAATTTAGTTTCTTATCTACATTTATTTATTATGTATAACTATTGCGTTTTCTTTAAAGAAGGTAATAATAGGAACAATACAACGATGACTACGACAAGTGCGTAAAAGACTAAATGAAACTTCCCAGAAACACATTTTCAAGTCATTGGCAAACAATACTATTAGCATCCTGGAAATTCCAAATCCTCGATTATGTAATGGCGATAAACGCCGATATATGATCTCCCATTAATTTTAAACAGGTTTCAAATTACATAACTAATTGTTCTTTTTTAGGAACGTCCATATTAATAATGATGTATATAGAAGCTGTTGAGAAAATTATTTATTATCTTAATCGACGATCAGGTTACCAAAGGTTACATTCAATAGACACGTCACTCGTAGCCATGGCATGATTTTAGAAGCTTCAAAGAGATATTGTGAGCAACATCCGCAGTCAGTAAAATAAATTTATTTATTTATAAATTATTATAAATAATAATTACATTATCATTTACGTTATTATAATGTTATATTAATAGAAATTTTAATGAAATAATATCCTACTTAAAAATTGTTGAAAATTAAAATTTTCTGATGTAAGAATTGTTGAAATTAGCAGCATGATTTGGAAGAATTAAAAATTACCTATAATCTGAGTATATGCGGCAAAAATACATAGAAATTTGTTTCGTCCGCATAGACACATTGATTAAATATAGATTTCATAACGTGTGTGATAAACATGCTTATCAACTTGTTAAAAGATTGACTATACAATTTTAAATTGACATTTTTATCTGAGAATAGATTAATTTTATTACTATTAGACATCCGTTTATAATTATCTTTTGTCATTTTTCCTGTAGGAGCATTTTTCTTTTTTTCTAACAATCTAGGAAGTAACCGATACGTATTATATTATCGATAAGAACATGATTTAACCGCATTTATGACCGATTCTTCATATCGCCGCAGATTACAATGTTTATTTATTTACCAGCAAATTGTGCAAGACGTAAAAATACCGAATAATACTCTATTCATAACGAGAGTAAAGATTTATGCGCGGAGATACGTCCTTAAGTATGCGAGCGTGATTGGACGAACTGGCGGTATAAAACGATGCGTCTAACAGTTGGTGCGATCATATACCGAGTAGTGTGCGACAAGTGTGGACTGCAAATAACAGGTTCGTAACACGTTCTCATCTGTTTTCGCGCGAGAATACTCGTGGGCGGTATTCTTTTTTATCGGCGATGATGCAAGCAATGCGATCGAAAATTCACGAACGCGTGCGTAGCGAGAATTCATGACTACTTTGTAAAATCTTGAGAAAAAGCTCTACAGCAAAAATATGTTTTTATAACAAGCTTATCTATTATTACAAGCATATTTATTATTTAAATTAAACAAATAATTGTTCAATCCGCCTCTGCATATATTTGTCACATAATTCAATTAATTGTCCTTCATTTATTATAAAAATTATTAATCTTTAGGGAAAAGTTGTGATTCGTCTCTGTCATTCGAACCAAAATTGTTAAATTGGCTTTATGTCTGATTATTGCTGAATTATAAATAATATTAACTCGTAAGATTTTTGCTTATCATGTTGTAACGCTCGTCTTTTAAATTATGTTTGATATATATTTATATAATTATGTATATTTAATTAAACATTAATGATTATATTGTATGAAAATGATACATACAATATAGAATTTCATGGTCATTTGAATGCGATGAGTAAGATCTAAATGAAAGCTCAGTCAATATATAGCACAGTTTGACCTATATATTGCATACAATTACATTTCTAAGGAGTAATTTCCAAAATGATATCAATGATAACATATTCTACAAAATAATTGCCAAAAGTTGTAAGTTTGTTAGAATGTGAAAAATTCGTATATCTTTGTTTTTCATGCAGACTTGTATTGTTTTCTTGAATATTGATGTTTGTAGTAAAGTAACTATATTAAAATGTATAGAAAAAATATATATATGTATTAATAATAATTAATTATATTATCATTATTCGATTTATCATATTGTTATATTCAAGTCTCGGCACAAACTATACAATTTTTGGCGAACTTTGAATTCTCTCGATTTAATTAGAAAATTTCTTCCACTATATATACAGCTATTTAATTTCTTTCATTTTCCAGAGCTCATCGTACAATAACTATGTCGTCGATTTTGAGCATACTCTTAATCATAACTGTAGGATTAGTGTTTTCTTCCAATGGACAATGTACAAATAACGCGGACTGTTTATCAGATGAATGCTGTTTGCTAGGTTTGTTTCTCCCTTTTTTTCAAAATTAACTACATTACAATTGTATGTTAAATATTATTTGTACATTTCTATAGGACCTATGAGATACTCGACGCCAACTTGTATACCGTATCAAAAAAAGGGCGACCAATGTCGAGTAAATGCCGAATTCGTTACTACCAACTTAACGTACCCAAATAATTCGCATCTGGAAGTTAAGAATGTAAGTTACATCTTATGTCCTTGCGTCAAGGAAACATCCTGCAATAAAGAAACGGGCATCTGCGATTAGAAGTGCACCTTTTCATCACTTGAAGAAATCACTGGGTTGCTCAGGATTTTCTATGCTGAAAAAGAATTTAATAAAAAATAAATAAAATATTAATTGTTATCACTAATACTTTTTATTAAGATTACATTAATATATTATTAGTTATATATTATTATCTTTAAGAACGTTATAACATAATTATAATAGTAATTATAGTTAATACAATCTTTAATTTGAAATAACAGAATATATATATATATATATATGTGTGTATGATTGTATATGATCTTTATTTTAATAAAAAAATATTTATATTAATATTGAAAATACAAAAAGAATATTTTATTTGTACAATAACAATTTTGAAAGAATATAAATTGTCAATTTATGAAGATAAAAGATAAATAATTCTTCAAGATAAATTAAAATTATTCATTTAAATATTGTTCATTAAATTAAAAGTAATATTAATTTTGGAAATATAAGTATAAGGCATAGTATAAAGAATTTACATGTAATTTAATTTTGCATATACTTATATACTATTATTCCGCGTCCATTCTTCCAGAAAAAGGAAAACCAAAAAGAATTTATTCCAAATATTAAAAGGACCTTTGCATAATATTGTCTTGTCGATGTTTATCCGAAAAGTGCTTATAATATTCTTCCTTTCCTTTTTCCATTCAATGCATATCTGTTTTTATGGAAAGTGTTATATTTTTGCGTACAATATTATTTAAAATTGTAAAACAGTTTTACTTGGTATTAAATATAAGATATGTACAATATAGATCGATGTATGTTGTTTTTAAGTGTGTATGTATAATCTATCTTACCTACCGAAGAAAATTCATATTGCAAAGTTACCTTTGCATGTGGGATTATATTGTACGATGTAAAGTATAGATGGCAAAAGCAGTTTTATCAGCTATAATCAGCAATCAGCTATTACAGAAAACAGCGTAAACGTACATCCTTCATAGTTTGTAGTGATTGCTAAAATGTCATATATTGCCATATATTGCCTGTGAAAAGAATTTTTATTTTTGCATTCTTATGAATAAGTATTTAATTAAACTTTGAAATAAAAAAAAAGCATAAGATTAACACTGTGAAAAAATGTTTAGTACTAAGTCTTTTGACGTTGTGAGTTTCAACTCTGAATTGTCTACCACAAAGTAAGTAATTGTAAAATATTAAATATTTGATTATTTTAATGAATAAAAATTCTTTTGCTTTTAGGTCGGAGACAACCGCAAATGTTCAAACCACAGAGATAATTTATGCTGCTGATAGTGCACAAACCACAGAAACAAGGAGCATTGGAGTATGTTATTAAAACTATAGCTCATATATACATATATATATATATTTCCAGAATATATTAGACTCAAGTCTAATATATTAATATATTTAACAAGTCGATGTCTTTTTGTCTTAAATAAATTTATATTTTCAGATTCAAACAATGAATGAACAGAAAACAAATGTGCATGTAGATTATGATAAACTGGCAGATTTCTTAAAACGTGTTACACCAGGAATCCTGGGTGCTCTTGATGAAGCTTATGGTACAAATGCTTTTGATGACTACGATACTAATGTTAAAGAAGTCTGTTCCGTCAATATAGAATTATTACAAAAAATAACTGCTTTAAAAGAATCGGATACTCAGGTATGTGTTTTGCAATTAAGAATTACACAGATATCAAATATATATTGTGTATTAAACATTGTTTAGATGAAAATAAGCGATTTGTCATGGAGTACTGTCGGTGGAACATTGGCAGTTGGTCTCAGCCATATTAATCATGAAGCATGGTGCGACCACTTTTCTACAATTAAGTTTTATAATCTTACAAAAGAGGATAACTTCACAGATATACCTACCAAAACATTAGTGACAAATGGATGTGTCGCAACATTATCTTATCATCCAATAGATCCCTCTATCTTAGCAACTGGTTTGGCTAATTGTAAGTATTCTTAATATCAGAATTAACAGGAATGAATATTCATACCTCATTATACTTTCTATGCAATCTTTATTTTCTTTTCTTAGGGGAAGTGCTGATCTGGAATCTTAGAAGCGACAATTCGATCAAATCTACGCATGTATGCACACACAGCGACTGTGTATCTCAAGTATACTGGAAACCGAGAATGTTGAATGACGTGACACTGCTGTTAAGCTCCAGCAAGGATGGATATATATCGGCTCACAAGTTGACTGCTAATTTCACGACTGTTCAGCTGTATAAACGGTACATAATACGTTAATAGTTAACCAGTTGATTGTTAGTTAATATAATCATTCGAAAAAATCTAAATCTCATTTCAGATTTAAAATAGCCAAAGAACGTAATCCAGTGGAAAATGCTAGACCACGCAGCGCAGGTGGTACGCGTGAACGCGCCGCGGAAGCAGGATTATGCATCATGACTTTTGACTTTTCTTCAAAACACCCTACTATATTTGTCGTCGGAACATTATGCGGTGGAATATACAAGTGTAGCTTGGATAGTGTAACTTCCATCGAAGGTTTGTATTAAGCACAAAATTTTCTCGTAAAACTAAACTCATTAACAATTACTATTAATAATTAAATAAATTTATTAGTGCTTTGAGATTTTTTATCAACCTTTTCTACTGCTTAATGACATTTCTATTATGCTTAAGTTATTTTTATCGATTTCAGGAGGTCCATCGCTGATAGATCCCGTAATCGACGAGTATGAAAGACACGGAGGTGCTGTTACTTGCATTAAATGCTCACCATCACGTAATTTATTTGTTAGCAGTGCTATGGATAAAGAAATTCGTATATACAATCTTGACGAGGTAAATCTTCTTTGCTTCATCATTTTGACTTGCGTTAATATCATTGTTTCAATAAATCCAGCTCCATATCTACAGAAAGAGACATGTTTCATTTTTTTAAAATTATAAATAATCAATAATATTAAATTCAAAAATCGATAAATTGAGCGTATACGTTACAAAATCATTTTAAAATATTTGACTACTAATAAAAATAAAAAATTAAGAAATCGAAATATACTGAAGTACGTTTTAAAAATATTAATTGGTATGTTCATTTACTAGATCTCACATTATTTGCATAATTATATACTGGAATATTCATAATGGATGTATAATGACAACAGATATAGCGTTCACTTACATGAAATGTATATTATTCTTAGCAAAACAGTAATAGTAAATAACTAATAATATCTCAAAGTTCTTATAGATAACGTCAATTATCCAAAGTTAAAAATTAAAATTTAAAATGACATTTTCTGTGAAATATTTTGATAATGGATATGAAAACGGAAAATGATATAAATTGATGATTCATATAAAACAACCTGATATTTGAAAACCATTATACATTAGTTGGTGTTAATTTTATCTCTCTTAGGATTATATAACTTTGTATGTTATATGAATAGCACGTCAGCCAACAAACTATTTCCATCGACAATACGGTCGTAGGTTTAACATGGATGATCGGTAATCAAGACATATTCGCAGCATATGGAGCAGGTGCGTTTATAAAATTCTACAACGTCACGGATGGTAAACCCGTGACGAATGCAAAATTCCAAATGACTGGTAGAGAAGATATCAGTAGCTTACGCATTAATTCCAAGAGGTACGTATACGTGTAAATAACCAATTATGGATGACTCATCGATAATTTATCTCTCTTTTTCTTCCCTCGAGTTTTAGTTATGACAGTCACGTTAAAAATTTACAACTCGCTTAAACGATTCCTTGGCGTGCGCGTCCTCGGCCTAAGGGGAAAACATTATTTTTATCTATATTAAGTATATTTACACTGTGAACAGCTAGAATCGCTAAAATAGAATTGGCAATAACATTGCATCACGAATAACTATGAGATATCTAAAATAAAATTCGAATATCTCGACTGCTTGTGTTGGAACTTATACGCTTAAATTTTATATTTTAATTTGTGACTAATACCTGATAACACATGAATAATAACAAATGAAAATAATAAACTACTATATGTGTGTATTCACTGTGAAGATATTAAAACAATTTAAATGATTATTAAAAATATCAAAAGGCAATTAAGAAATTTGTTGATTAAATATAATTTGCAATTTAATACAATCTATAGTTCTAGCACAAAGAACAAAAAGAATAAAAAATGTATTTAAGAGAGATTAATAAATTATATTTTGTTGTAGAGATATGCTGGCTATTGGAGATGTTCGAGCGAATGTTGAAATATGGAAATTTCCACGTCGCTTGTTTTGAACAAGAGTTCCAATTGACGTAATTATTTTATATGATTTTTGCAGAATGACCTGATGTCATTCTTTATATTTCACGTAACACATGTAACCGTTTTTACTGAAATAAATTATTCGAAATATTGAACTCTGTCACATCGTATGTTTTTTTTTCGGGTAGATAAGTGATGACGACATTTCTTGATAACATATTTCTCATGAATTATAAATTATCTTATAACTGGAAATATTCGTAAATCTCGAGGATCGCTTCTGAAACAACAACTTGTGCAACACATTTTATTTGAAAGAACAGATAAATGTTTATAAAAATTTAATTATGGATTTTTCCATAATTGGAAATTATCCATTTTACATTGTTATTCGTGGAAATAGATTTATATCGCTCCAATATATATAATAAATAAAAATTTAGTATTGTAACATAATTACTTATCTTTTTATTATTATATCATAATATTAGAGCATTACCTTGCAGCTATTAAGTTCGATGAGGAAAACAACAATTTGAAACTTCACTAATAAACTGCATAGCATGATCCACCTTATTATCTTCAAACGATGCTCGCCTGAAAAAAAAATTAATTGGTTAGTAAAAGAAATGTTTTATATTATTATTTAGAAAAAGTAATCTCATAATCAACGTAACTGTTCCAAATGAAATTGCTCCTGTAATTTATTTTTCGTTTTAAATAAAATCATGTGTGATTTTTTTAGTCATTTCGAATATTTTGATATTAAAAAAAAATATATATATATATATAAATATGAAAGATGAATATTTTATCAAATATTTCACATAAGACATTCCATTGTGTGATATATGTGTTAACAAAAATATTTTTATTACCTCTAAAAGTCACACATATCAGAAAGCAGCATCTGAAAAGAAATAATTTAACAAGTAAAGGAAGGAGAAGGATATTTTATTATATTTCAAATATGATAATTTTTATAGGACACAAAATTATGAAACTTATGAAAACAAGATTTATCGCACGCCTGTGCAGGTGTTTCTTTTGCCCTGAAAAGGGCAGATTTTAATTTTGTCCTAAAAAGGACAGTTTTATCACAGCTTCTCCTTGACTCCTGGCAGTGTCCCTTGCCCTTTAAAAGGGCAATGTCATGGTGTACTTCTGGAAATTTGAATATCAAAATGACAGGCGTTTTACATTGCTCAAACCGAGAAGGTGCACCCACGTTCTTGACGCATTTGCGGGCCCCCGGAAGGGCCCTAACAGAAAAAGGGAAAGGATTGTGCGAGAGAATCTAGTTCAAATGGAATGCTATAGGGAATACAGTGGGAGAAAAACAAAAGATAAAGGTGATTCTCTCGTGATACGTCTCTCATATATCCTGAAGATGGCCACAGGCCCTGTGTTAGAATCTGTCAGATTTTCCGTACTGATATAAAATTCTTTGAAAATGAAGGGAAAAATAGGGAACGGGAAATGATATAGGATATAGTTGAAAATTTCCACTCTGCTCCATCTTGGTGTCTCAGTTTTCTTCCGATGCGAACGGAGAAAAGTCGTAAACTCCGTTCTCTCCTCGTCAGAGATCGGTGTTGAAAGATTTCTCTTGCCGATGTGGCAGCACCACTTTTTCAGCGACACTCGTTAGACGAGTTTTACCATACTCGTACACGGGAGCTGGCTCTTCCTCCTGTCTCTATTGCCTGACATCTTTTCGATTGTCCGAAAAGTCTATATCTCCGGTGTCTCCTTGCATATACTTCCTGTTCCTGCTCTTCTTTCCTCTGCTCTCAACAAAAGTATGCGCGTGCACCTCCGGTGCTCGTACTCCATCCCACACGTGACTCGCATAAACTCCTCCAAATATATTGAATTCCGTCCCCATGTGTAGATATATAGAATCGTGGTGCGCTGAAATACTCTGGAAGTAACATGGGAACGGGAAGCTCTAGTAAATCTCACTACGGTCACTCCCAACTGTTTTTCTCTAGCGGTAAAAACTCCGCATCTCATGAAAAACTTTTCGGGTACCCTCGCTTTCACTTGACCGAGGAATAGGAAAATTCTCCGCTCATATCTTCAAAAGAATGACCATCCGGAAACAATTTTCCGGATATTATTGCACGCCATATATCTCATATCTGTTTCTTCTCCTGCTCTTTTTCTTCTTCTTTCTTTCTCTCTCCTCCGTCCAAAGCTCTCTCTCTCTCTCTCTCTCTCTCTCTCTCTCTCTCTCTCTCTCTCTCTCTCTTTCTCTCTTACTATTTCTTCTTGCAGCACTTTTCCCCTGTTTTGTCGACATTCATACACGCTTGCTCTCTTTCTCAACTAGTTTCACCACCACACTTACAATTTTTTTGGCGCCTTTTTTAATTCAAAAAGACATTTTCTGATCCGTTTTTCTTCTGCTGAAATCTTCACACTCGCTTCGACCCCTCGCTCAGACTCGAGATATCGCTCTGTTAACGAGCAGGAGAGCTTTTTTGTACATATATTTCGCTGCTCCGCTCTGTACTCCGAGTCTGTTCGACATCTTGATGATCATTCACACCCAAAATACTTTCGTTCCCTTCTTCTTCTTCTTCTTCTTCTTCTTCTTCTTCTTCCTCCTCCTCCTCCTCCTCTTCCTCATTTTTTTCTTCTTTTCTTCTTTCTTCTTTCTTCCTTCAATACCATCAGCTTTCGCTCATTTTGTGATTTTCGTCATGAGAAACGCACCGGCTTTATAAAAAAGCCGCAGTGCAAAGCAAAGTGCGATACAAACAATTGCGCCTTTAGGTACGACTCTTCCTCCTTCGACAACAGCTCCGAGCATGTTTAAGCGAAAAGCTTCCGGAAAGCCCCTCCAACTTCATCTTACTCATACATTATCCTCCCGAATTGACGGTTTTCCTCGATCTCGTCTTTAATCGTCTCCGATCGTCCGCCTCGATTCCCCTTGGCCTCTCCCCCTCCTCTTCTTTCTGACACGTTTGAGTGTATCTTACTCACAAATGTCGTGAGCGAAATAACGTGAAAGAGGATGACGACGATCCTTCGCACACAGCTTCTCGATAAATCGCAGCAACGAGTGACGTTACACCGTCCGTCTCCCAACCTTTCTCGCCCCGCTCTTTTCTTTTCTGTCTTCACCATCTTCCATGAAGACTCCGCCAGTCATTGCCCTCTCGTCGAACACGCAAACACGAGACGATTGTTTTGCGGCGAAAACAACGGGATGCGCGTTGAAAAGTCACCGCCGCTGGTCATCCATGAGAACGGGTGAAGGATCTATCTCGACTAGATGGCTGAGCCGCTTGTTCCAAGACAACGTCTCTCTGTCGACAGATAATTTCCACTCACTATCGAAGGCAACAATTCTCGTTGGATCGTCGATGGACAGACGATCGATGGATCTCGTTTTTGCGCGTAACGACGAGCAGCCGCCTTTTATCGCCATTCCTTTTCTTCGTGCATCTTTTCTCTCTTCTCCCTCGATTTCTTCCATCCTCGCGGTTCATTCTCGCGTTTGCAGACCTCGCAAGGTTGGGAGCGATTCTCGCAATCCTTTATCGTCGTTTCAAGCCGTTCGGACAGGCCGTCAACACGAAACACACTCGTATTGCCTCCGGAAATCTTCTTTTCTCGCATAGCAAAATATTCTCTCTTCTTTTTCTCTCTCCCTCTCTATTTTCGGGGGTGACCATCCCCCCCTTCCCTCTCCACGCGCGTTCATTTCGCTTATTTACAATTGTTTAGATGTATATTGTTATCTATATTACTATCGTCATCATCGTCGACCGATGCTCCCTCCTCGTGTAAACGGTTAGTCCTTAATTGCAATATAATACATGTCTATGTGTACGCTCCAGTCGGACCTTATGTGTTAGCATTTTGTTTTCTTTTTACGTCGCTACATAATAGATTACGGCTCTATCTCTTACGTAGACTAAAAACCTCGACGGTTATAATTGCATCTCATCGTGACGGCCCGTGACGAAAATCGTCCGGGTGACACGAAGGGGGGAAAAACATCGTCGTCATCAAATCGTGCTCAACATCGTTACCATCATCACAGAGATTGCGACTCGATATCCTTACAACTATTATTATTCCTTCGATCGACTCATCACTCATTCTTGTTTTCTCGGTTACTCACCCTCTTTAGACAACGGAACGAGTAACGTTATCTGTTTCTCGCAATCTCGTACGGACGTACATATCGTATCGATTAGATCGTAAAGAACTTATAATTTCACTTATATAGCTTTCCCTTATATAATACTCCCATATCAATTCAATGCGATCATATTATAATTATACGATCGATTGCACAGATAATATAATACGATTCTTTAAGACGGACATATTCGAATTGTTCTTGCAATTGACTAGGAACGAAAATAACTCAATGAAATATTATCGCGGATACAACATGCACGCACCGTACGTACGAGTCGCTCGTCTTGAAAGCAACCAGTTATTCTAAGAATAACATGTCATGTCGACTTGTACACGCGTCTTATTAAAATGCATGGTCCTTCACGATTACATTCATATCCACTTTCAAGAGAAACGACTCGTGTATATCGACGCACACGTATTACCTCTCTCTCTCTCTCTCTCTCTCTCTCTCTCTCTCTCTCTCTCTCTCTCTCTCTCTCTCTCTCTCTCTCTCTCTCTCTCTCTCTCGCTCGCTCTCTGTCGGTTTCGCAATCATTCTCTCTGTCGCCATAATATACTTTTATCATTGTTCCGTTAAAGCAGACCAGAGTTTCAGGAAACAATGCTCTGTACAGCTACGCTCAGTGTAAAGTGTAAACTTACGTAATGAACGAATACGTGTAATAAACGAGTGTATAAGAAACAGCGGTTGCTCGCTCGAAGACAGAGGAGTAATATTCGTGCGTGTTAGAGAAGTCAAATGTTTTCTTCGACTCGCGATATCCTATGACAGTTTCGATTACGTCGCTAACATTGAAGATTCGTGTTCGCGTCTTTATCATTTTACTTAGAATCAAATGCGCACTTTACTTGTCTGACGGAGATCGTGTTCGTTGGAGACGTAAAATGAATATTGCAATATCGCATTTGATACTAAGTACAAGATGCGAATACGAATTCAACCACTGCGCGTTATATATTTTACAAATTTACAAATATTTTACACATTTCTTCTACAAATTTCCAGAGCATTGATTAATCTTTGGTTTCTCAGATAATCGTAAATTTCACACAAAAAAATATTAATTCTCAATAGAGAAATCAATCTTATTTAATAAAAATAGTACAGTTGGCAATATTTTTTTAACGTCTAAACATTAAATAATT